AGGTTAGTGCTGACCTGAGGGGGAGTGTCCCAGCTGTGGGCAGCTCTGGGAACCGAGACCTTCAAAAGCACCCTGCAGGCTGCTTATAAGATGCTTATAAGGTGGGTTGGAGAGTGTGCTTAGCATGTACAAGGTCCTAGGTTCAATCCCTAGTACCTCCATTAAAAAAATCTTTTTAAAATAATAAAACCTAATTATCTCCCACCACCCCACCAAGCTTCTGCTTTACTGTATTTTCCCATTAACGTTCTGAAAGAGTGGGATTCTAGTCTAAATGAAGAAGTCTTCATCCCTTTTAGGCATTCTTGAAATATTAAATGATGAATACAATTAAATAGTAAAAGGTCATCTTCAATCTCTCTGCCACCAATGAGAGAAGATTCCCTGTGTGCACCAGCACGATGGACATGCTGGTTTATGGGCCTGACACCATGCATGGAACGTTACAAATTCCTACAACGTCCTTAAGCTTCCTCTTCAATTGAACTGAAAGATGGCTAAACACCCCACTCGGGCAGACGATTCCCCATTGGCTGGCCGCTTGTGGATGCTCAAGGGGGCAGTTACCTGTGAGGTTTCCCTGAGCAGCAGCAGGCTCTGACAGCAGCCTGGGTAGAATTTATGCTGCCCCATTCTCTGCTCTGGTTTGCCTTTCTCTTCCACCCCCTACCTCCACCCACAAAGGAAGCAGCCAGATCACACACATTTCTGATTGCTTAGAAAACAGGTCAAGATCAAAATGCAGGCAATAAGAAGAATGGCCAAAGAGTAGACCCAGACCATTTGGGGTTCACTTAAATACAGACACAGCTGTAGCTTAGCATATGCTCCATCGCCATGGTGTCAGATCAAGAGCATAGTCAAAGCGTCTCTCAAACACCTAACTACTCACAGAATCCCCTGCATCAATCAAACCTGTGTTATTATGAGATTCACTTTATGCCTCAAGGTCTGTGCAGCATGGTATAAAAGATGACATCTGGAACCACTGTGCTCCATAACGGGGAATGCGTGTGCTTCATCTGCATGCAAGGTGATGTTTAAAGTATCGAAAATGTGAGACTAAAGCTTGTTACCAAAAATGCATATTTTGATGCCATAAGTTTCTTGAGTCAAAGAGCATAAGCTAACCTTTTGACAAGAAAACTTTGTAAAAAGATCCACAGTCTGCAAGACTTGGGCAGCTGTGTGTAATAAACTGCATCATTTATAACCCAAAAAAACCTGGATCTGTGAAGGAAGAATCTGTCAGGAAAAAGTTCCTGTAGTTTGTAGTTGACCTAACACAAGTGCAATGCCTCTGCTCCCACTCACTCAGGCATTTATTGAACTCTTATTCGATGCCAGGTGCTGACCTCAACATGGGGCCTCAAAGCTGAATAAGAGACATTCTGTGCCCCCAAAGAGCTCCACAGCTCTGTGGAAGGCAGAGGAGCAAACCGGCGAACATAATGTAACAGGAGAAGTCCTATAATACGAGCTGTATCAACAAGAGCTATGGAAACAGAGGGGAAATGACTCAGCCTGAGGTGGCTAAGGAAGGCATTTTAGGTGATACGGTACCTGAGCCCATTGGCCAGGAGTAGGGGAGAAGGGCATTTCAGGCGATGGAAGTGGCACGTGCAAAGGCACTGAGGTGTGAGAAGCACAGCATGCTTGGGAAATGGCAAGTGCTGTGATTCACAACCAGTGGCACATTGGGTGCCATGAAGGAAGCAAAGGGCGACTGTGTCAGTGAAGTGAAATGGGAGTCAGAGCATGAAAAGCCTGAACATCACGCTGAGAAGTTTAGGCTGCATTCGAGGCTAAAGGATTTTATGCAGGGGAATTTCAGTCTTCGACTTCTTCCGCAGTGGTGTAAAGAATGAACTGGGGAAGGACCGGACTGGTGGCCAAGAAGCAGCGGCCAATCTACAGAGACGGAAAGATCAGTGGTTGCCTAGAGCTTTGGGACGGGAGGGGCGATGGAATGTTGAGTGACTAAATGAGCATGAGAGACTTTTCTGGGAGGGAGTGGCGGTGATGGAAACATTCTAAAGTTGGATTGTGGTGATGACTGTACAAATCTGCAGGTATACTAAAAGTCACTGAATCGTACATTTAAAATGAGCAAATTTTATTGTATGTAAATTATACCTACATGAAGCTCTTAGGAAAAAGGAGCAATTGCAGAGATGGAAGTATTCTGGGCGGGAATCGATGAGGGTATGAGATAGGCACTGGAGATTTAGAATTCGCTGTGGAAAGTGGGTGAAGGAGAGAATGGAGTCAGGGATGGTTCCCAGAACCTGGATGGGACAGGGACCAGGAGGAGAAGCAGGTCTGAGGGAGAGGATGGGGAGCTCAGGCTTTGATACCCTGAGTTTGAGGTGCCTGTGGAATATACACCTGAACAAGGTTTCTCAAATTCCCATTATTGACATTTGGGGCAGGATAATTCTCATTGGAGGGGCCCTGTCCTGTGCCTTGTAGGATGCTTAGCTGCATCCCTGGCCTCTACCCACTAGATGCCAGTAGAATCCTCCTCCCCCAGTATGACAACCTGTAATGTCTCGACATTGCCTTTTGTCCTCTGGGGGCAAAACTGCCCCAGCTGAGAACTGCGTATTGACAGAGAAAGATCTTAACTCATGATTGTTCCTCAGTTTTCCTTTTTCATGGAGATATTTCACACACCATTAAATTCATCATTTAAAAGTGGTAGTTTTCCATACATTCACAAAGTTGTGCAACCATCACTACTGTCTAATTCCAGAACATTTTCCTCACCCTAGGAACTTCATACTGAGTAGCAGTCACTCCCCATTTTCCTCTCTCCCCAAGTCCTTGGAAACCACTCATCTACTGTGTGTCTGCAGGTTTGCCTTTTCCTGACATTTCATCCAGAATCATATAGTATGTGGCCTTTCATGACTGGCTTCTTTCACTTGGCATGTTTCCACAGTTCCACGTGGTGGCATTAAGGAGTACTTCATTCCCTTTTATGGCCAATCTTCCACGGTATGGATGCATCACTGTTTATGCAATCATCAGCTGAGGGACATTTGGATTGTTTCCACTTTGGCTATTGTGAACAGTGTTGCTATAAATCCCTTCAGGTACAAGTTTTTGTGCAGATCTGTTTTCATTTTTCGTGAGCACATAGCTAGGAACAGAATTGCTGCATCATGTGGTAACTCCATGTTTTCATCTTTCGAGAAACTGCCAACCTATTTTGTAAAGTGGATGCACCATTTTCCATTGCTGGTAGCCAGGTATGAGGGTTCCACTTTCTCCATCTGCTCGCCAACATCTGGGATTGTCCTTGACTCGTGTTTTGTTTCAGGTTTCCAAGAGAGCATTTGATATTAGACTACACTGTTTATGGTAATTTTATAGATAAGAAAACTAACGGTCAGAGGGTGGCTTATAAAGGTAATGCTTAGAGGTCAGTAAAGTCCTTTCCAGTACTAATATTTATAACTACTCTATGTTGAAAACCTGTACAGTTTCAACACTATTCTGTCCTTCACGTAAGATGCTGGCAGTCTGACACACGATGTTTGAGCTGGTTTTCAGTTTTCAAAGCTCCATCTGAGCTTCTACCCTTCCCCTCTCAACTACTCAGCAGATATCACGTAGCAAGTGTCCTCTCTTTCGTGCATCGTTACTTTCCCCATCTTTATCTGACCAGTCCACTTCCATCAGCATAACCCCATGGTATCTCCCATCCTAGAAATATAGTACAGCTTCCCTTGGTCCCATCTTCCCTGCCAGTGTCTATCCCATTTGTCTGTTTTCTCCTGCAACAAAACTTGAAAGTTTTCTCTATTCATTTCTCCCAATTTCTCTTCCCACTCCTAATCTCCTTTCTGACACTCCACCAAAACACCAGGCAGAGTCATCAATGACTTCTACTTTGTTAAATCCAAATGACTAATTCTCAGCCCTTATATTACTCAACTTATCTGCAACTTTTGATACAAAGAGTCATTCCTTCCTTAAAGCACATCTTCATTTGGCTTCTAGGACGTTGCTCTCATTTTTCCCCTCCCTTACTGGTCACTGCCCCTCAGTCTCATCTGCTGGTTCTGCCGCATGTTCCCAACCACCAAAAGCTAGAGTGAAACAGGGCTTGGCCCTTGGACCTCTGTTTTTCCCTACTTAGAGGTCTATTAGGCATCTCAAATAAACTCCTGATTTTTTTTTTCTAAACCCCTCCAAACCTTCCTAAAATCTTCTTCCACAGTCTTCTTCACATAGTAAATGGTCACTGCTATCCTCCACCAACCTTGGAGTTGTCCTCTCCTCCTCCTCTTCTCTCACCCTCTCCATCAGTCAGTGGCCTATCTTTTATGTTCAGAATCGGAGCCAGAATCTGGTCCCAGCCACCATCATTTCTCACCTGAATTATTACAGCTGCCTCGTAACTGGTCTCCTTGCTTCCATTCTTACTCCAACAGTCTATTCTCCACACCGCAGCCAGAGTGATCCCTCTAAAACGTAGGTCAGAGCACATCAGTCCTCTGAACAAAATCTTCCATGGGCTTGCTGTGCTAGGGTGTTTGCAGAATGGCCCACCTACTGCCCTTCTCTGTGCGCCCACTCTTACGTAGTCCCCTCCCTCACTGACTCTGGGCTGGGCTGGGTGGCTTACTTTGGCCAGTGGGACAGTACAGCCATAAAGCAAGCAGAGGCTTGAAAAGAGCTTGTTCACTGGAGTGTTTTCTAGGGGCTGTGGTGGGGAGAGCGGCAACTGTGTCCTGGGACATCTTACATTAATGCAGGCCGGATGCCGAGAATAGCCACAACCTAGAAGACATTCAAACAGATGCTCATTGAAGGATTCCGGTAGAGCAGTGGGATGAGGGCTTGCCACTGGCCAGTTCAGACTCAGTTCCTTTGGACCTCCCCTCCCTTCTCTTTCTTCCTATCCTTTCCCCATTAGTCTGCAACACCAGTTTGTCAGATCATTTGATTGTTCACCAAATGGTTGGGAAGACACAAAGACTCCAAGAAAGTATTATCAGCATAGAAATTTATTTGAATTCAAAATAATATGGTTATATCTAGAATAGTGTAATAATTATCTAAAGCACATATCATCATTGGCTCTGAAACAGTTCTAAAGATATTCTTTTGAAGTCAAAAAATATGTATGTAGTAAGAATGTACAAGGAAGCAAAAATATAAAAGACAAGTCTGCTGAGTATTGGGAGTCATTACAAGAGGGGCACGCCAAGACAATGTAACAGAGTCCAAATTATATAACATGCAGCAAGGAGTTCTCTTGCTTTACCAATGTCTGGAAAATAAACCAGTAACCTCAGTAATGCGAGAATACCTCCACTTGGTTAACAGGACAAACTTTCTAAGGGACACAGGTAGTAATTTACTAGTCTGCCCCTTCCTCTAACTCCTTTCCTCACACTGACTTCTTTTCTTTCCTCAAAGATAGGTTTTATTCTCTTGAAAAAAAAATTGATTTTATTTGTAAGGTGGGGTAAATACATCCTGATTGAAGTATGCGAGGATTTAGCTGCAGATGCTCAGGGATCAAACTTCTGAGAAGGTCAGTCAGCTAGTGAGCAGAGACCATCAGTGGCTTGCAGAAAAGAACCAGGTAGTAAGTGTTCACTAAATAGATAAAAAGAATAAGCAGTTAAAAATGGGTGAAAAATCCCAGGGTTTACTGTGACCTAGACAATCAAAAGCAGACAGGTGACCTTGGATTAAACCCATGTACTTGTGGAGTGAGCTATAAGTGGCTCCAAGATAGAGTTTGGTTTCCAACAGTGTCCACAGCCGAAGGGCAGACTCAGAACGTCTCCTCCTCTCGTAGGAACTGGAACACGGATGAGAAGTCTTTGTTTGAGTAGCCCTTCGCACACATCATCCTGTAGATCTGATGGGCTTGACTGCCCAGCAGGATTGGGCTCTTCGTGCTGGTAGCAGAGTCTTGTGCTAATCCCAGATCCTGAATCAAACAAGGGCAGGATGGAATACATTGAGGCTGGTAGTTAAGGCTTACTTTGGAACTGGGGCTCCCAATGCTTGGGTTTCAAAGAAGGGAAAATGAAGTCTGAAAAAATAAGAGACTTAGAGGCACGATGTTAAGTTATATATACTTCTACAAGTGCTTTCATATAGCTGCAAAACTGCTCCAGACAGAAACCTTGATTTCTGAGCATCCTTTCCACTCTTCCACCCTCTACCCAATCTATTCATTTTTCTTTGACTTTGGTCGGGTGTTACTATCCAGGTGAGATCACACAGGAAAATGCTTTTTCACATCTGAAGAAGCCTGTAAGCCTAAGACAAACCCCATTATGAAATTATGGATGATGAAATTATGAATGATCAAAATATCCACTCAATCTCTTATTCAACAAATATTTAACTGCCATGTGCTGGGCACTGTTCTCAGTGCTGGTGATACAATCATGATAAAACCAAGTCACTGTTCTCCAGAACTTACTGTCCAGTGAGGAAGAGAGACAAGAAAACAAATCTTAAACTTCCAGACAATAACAAGTGCTATGAAGAAAAATAAAGCAGGGTAAGGGGTTAGAAAGTCATACATGGCATGGAGTGGGGTGGGAAAAAGAGTTCTGACAGTTCTGAGAGAAGGGATGTTTCAGGACAACATCCCTGAGGTGAAGATACTCGACCTAAGATCTGAGTGTTAGGGAGCAGTGCGTTCTTTGCAGAACTAGGAGAAGAGGCAGGCAGATGGAACAGCAAGGTAACGGCCCAGCCCCGCAGTGGGGCACGGCTCCGATGTTCAAGAAGTGGTAAGAAGGCCAATGAGGCAGAATCAGAGCAAGGAGGCTGGGGCGGGAAATGAGCCTGGGGATGGGCAGAGGTAGACCGTGGAGGCTTTATTATGTTTGGTAAGGAGACTGGATTTTATTTTAAGTGTAATGGACATTCATCTTCAGAACAACTCTTTAAGATCTCAGAGAGTTAACGCCTCATTCTGAGTTTCATAAAACTTATGGCTGTTTAAACATAGACAAAAGTTAATGTTATAAATCTTGTATTATTAAACTGCAGTGAAAGGATATCCTCTACCTCTGTCCAACCGTGAAGTATGTGGGGTGGATGGAAGGCAATGAAGACACGGATAACTGAAACAATATTCCCCACATTTCATTCCATTTGTGATTATTATATAAGAGCTGCAAACAAGTGGTAAAACCAACTAGATTTTCTTCTTACCATTACTATCCTCATTTCCTCTATCAACAGAAAAGCCAACAAGCAATGGAATAAGAAAAGAAGCAAGATGAGGACTATTTGTATTCTTTGAGGAACATCCTTGATAAATGAACAGTTACTGAATACTATCCACTCAAAGGGGAAAATGATTCAAAGAGAAAGTAAGCAAAGTTTAAAGAATGAACTAAATCTCTAGCCTCCTGAAAATGCATCATGCTGTATGTGTTAGCATTTTGTGCCTATTTGTGTCATTTTTACATGTTAAACACGTAGATTTGGAAAATCTACTTAATCTTAAATTCTCCTATAACTGCCACTAAAAAGCAAGTTTAATTAAGCAAGTAATAACCCACACACTTAACAAATGTGGACAGCTACGTTATTGCTTATACCCAGACAAGCTTCTTTTGTCAACATCAGTCTGCTGTACATCTGCAAGATGCATTTATTTAAAAAGGACAGGGAGAAAAGCTACATAGAAAGACTGCACTTAATTTTTAACCTAGTAATATAACTAGAATATAAGAACCGAGAGTAAATACAACACCTTGAGGAGAAGACAACACTACTGAGAAGAAAAGTCTATCAGAGGTTTTCAAAGGAACAAGTGAATACCCCAAATAAAAGCTAATAAAAACCAGAAAAGAGGGGAAAACTAAAATAGCTTTGTTGGTTACTACCTTAAAGGAGGGACATTCTAAAAAGAGAAGGGTGATTTAGTCTATAAAAGCGTAAGTGGCTTATCAATCCTGAAATGTTAGAAAAGGCATCCTTTGAAGCCTGTAACATATAATTTAAGACAAATACTCCCCTTCACCAATCAAATAAAAATATTTATGAATTCATGAGCTCAGTGGGTGGTTCAAGGAAAAAATATACAATTGTAAAAGGTTTTGACAAATTAATGGAGGACCAGGTTGTTACATTTCACAAGGACACAGGTATCCTGGGTGAGCACCAAGGTGGTCATGATTTTCCTTAAGTTGTTCCTTCGTGGCCATCAGAAACAGACTTCTAGGTTGGAGAGTTCAGAAGAATGATCTAGTTTTTGTACTGATTATGTTCTGATTACATACACACAATATATTAGAATTTTAAGGTGTTAAGACCTAGAAATAAACCTACAGCTTCTACTTCAATGACACACTAATACCATCTCCCCCAACACAATGAGATTCAATAGCAGTTGAGCAAAAAACATCTGTAAGTAAAGGCTTGATCTGGCCAAGCAGGTACAATTGCTTTAATCAGTGTAGCATTGATGGGGATTTCTTTAATCTCTATTAGTTTCTCTATACAAATCTAATTAGCTATGGTATATTTTTGCTAACAGCTCTCTAAGATGATGAAAGGTTGATTTTAAGTTCCTTTCTAAATTCTCTCATTCTAAGCAAAATTCAGAAGTCTTGTTCTTTAAAAGGGAAATGACAACTGCATTTCGTAGAGGAAACTAGAGCAAAAGAGAACACTAATGTCCATATTTTTTATTGTACTGTCTTATGCTATTAGTTGAAAAAAACTATCTTTTATTATCAAGAAAATAATTTTAAAGGAAGGACCTTAACAGGAGCAGATTCCTCCTGGGTAGGGACACTGGAGAAAACAATGGAAGTCAAGGTGTTACATGGAGAAGAGGACAGCTACGGTGGAGATTCCCAAAATAAAGCCAGCACCGCGCACACTCTGCTTGTTAGCAGTCTCCCTGGGTGGAGCTGTTAGCAGTATTTTAGGAACCAGATAAGCTAACAGGTCACAACCCACTTCATACAGATACATAATGCAAACTGGGCATAAATGCTACTCTCTCACTTTTCTGTGTGCTCCAATAAATGACCCTGCAGCTCTGATGAAAACAACACACTTAAGGATCTACTTTCTGTTTCCAGCAAGAGCAACATCGCACAATTATAAAAGCCTGTGTGGAGGATATGCAAACCAAAACACAAGGTACAGACTGGCATAAAAATAAATATTTTCTTAAATGAAACACGAGGAGAAATAAAACTACAAAATAAGAAACATAGTCTCCAATATGGTTTCATCCAATAAATATTCAAAGTGAGCCGACAATGTGCCAGGTGCTGTGCCCCAGGCCGGGCTGGAGGGACAAGGAGGGATGAGGCCGCAGAGGGAAGAGCACGTGCGCAGGGAGGGCCGGGGAGAGCGAGAGCAAGAGGCAGAGATGAGCTGGGCGAGGATGGAGCAGAGAAGGGGAGGCAAGAACGGGCTGGTGTGACGAGCAAAGGCCAGACCACCAAGCACCTGCATGACAACGTGTGGAGAGGGGGCTTCAACCTGCAAGCAACTGGTAACCATGAGACAGACAATAGGAGAAATGACATAATCAGGCTTTTACATTTTAGGAAACTTGCCCTTTACCACAGAAAATGAACTGGAGAAGACGAGGATGAAAGGCAAGGAGTCCAGTTAAGGGCTGATGTGGGAAAATCTAAATGAGGCTCAGCCAAGGGACCAGCAGTGGCAGAGAAGGACAGTGAATGAATTTAAGGCATATTCAAGAAGTAGAATGGACAAAACATCACAGGGAATGAAGGAGAGTAAGCTGAGAATGTATCAAGTGTATGGATTATTACTTTGTAAAATATTAAATGACGGGGGTGTGGTGGGGTGAGGAGGGTAGTCCCTACGCAAAAATCTAATTCTGTTCGTCCAAAAAGTATTTCCTAACATTGATATCACAAATGAGAGGAGGCCAACAATGTGCTTTTCAAATGACTTTACACATAAATAAATATATATTCTTAAAGAAGGAACGTGTATTTGGAAATCCAGTATCCTGCAAAAGAGCCTCTCTTCTTTTGTGATATGTACTTGCAATGTCATTGTATTATCAACCATCAGAAAATGCTTACTGCTTCCATTCTAAGGGCTTGGTAAATTGATGTCAATTTATGATGAAGAACAAAATTTTACCAGCTCACATTACAAACAAACCCAAACACAAAAGAAAATTTCAGCCTACTCTTCTCATTTGAGAGGCCAGAATTAAAAATGAACAAGATAATGGTTTTTATCCCAGCTAAGTTTTAACTAATTTCCAGTGAGTAAATGAATCGCTATTTTAGTGACCCTGCCTTCTAGGATAGACATATGTTTTGTTATGGGTGGGGGTACGTTGGGGTGAGGGGAAAGAGAAAAAGAGAAGGGAGGGAAGGAGAAGAATTAGACCATTAAAATGCTCCCCCCACAGCCCGGTAGACTCTGCATGTACCATACCTTAGCCATGAGTGTTGTTCCGAATCCGCCCTGATAGTTATTAGCTGAGGGAACTCCATCCATCACCCCAGGTACAGGATTATAAGTGTCACTTGACCAGCACCGTCCTGAGCTCATATTTAGGATTTTAGCCAGTAGTTTTGGGTCAAGCCCTAACCTGTCAAAGGTCAAAGAAAAGAAGTGTTATATGTCAAAATGTTCAAGTCATGCGTGACTTATTTACATATGAGGATGCTCCATCTTCTCTCTCCATTTATGATGTTTTCAAAAATCAAAGCAGATTGATGAGAGAGAAGAATCCAATCTTAAATTACAGGGTATTAAAAGCTAGTGATTAAACATTTCTGAGCCAGGATATTCTGCACCGAGAGAAAACCTTCTGCATTCTCCTACTTTTAAGAAATAACATATAATTGCATAAAAGTGTCGCTGGTTTATCACACACATGGGCTTTCTAGTCTTTTGGACATTACTACATTTATGTGTCGCATAAGAACCTTAAGCCAATATGATGATCTAAATTCTACAGTCTTTACTCACAAATGATATATTTCAGAAAGAAACACTGACAGATAAACTATGTATCATGGGAGTCTGTGTGGATGCATTTATATGTATGTTTATTCTTTTAGCTTTTATGAGAATAAATGCAAGAGATGAGCCATGAGCAGTAAAATGAGCTTAAGAGAAGTTATCATTATAAAAGGAGATATTTCTTGCTCTAAACTTTTCCTTATTTATTAAATCTTCATTAGACAATCTTGCTTATGAAGCAAGTCTGCACAGAGTTGTGACATATGCTATCTATTCAGAGACATGCATTATAGTTCTGGGTCAACTGCTGATAAGGTTACTGATCCTGATAAAACAAAGCTTGCCCAAGCGGAAACATCATTTGTTCTATCACTGAGCTGATGGCATAAACGGCTGTTCAATGTGGACCCAGGAAAAAAAAAAGAAAGAATTAAAATGCTCTATTACTTTGATTCCAAGTATCTTAGTGCAGTCTAGGAAGCATAGTTTTGCTGAGTATCTTTAAATCAAGTTTCAAATAAAACTTTCTGCTTTTTGTTAAAACCAGTTCCTTCCAGAATTAAAAAAAAAAAGACTAAGAAGAGACACATAAAAATGTTAAACAAATTGTGCATTTTGGTATGCTTAAGTTCTTATTACTTGTGTGTTAGAAATATATGTCCGTTTATTTCCAAATCAGAAGATAATGACCAGTAAGACCTTTTTTCCAATGCTCCAGTGGGGTCTAGAGCTAATAGCCAGGATGCGTATAGACTTATCACATAACATAACTGTTACGTAATCAGTAGTAATCCTTGAAGAAGGAGCAGATGTGGTTCAAGGAATACTATTCAGCAGGCCATGTATATAAAGTCAAACGGTGACCCGTGTTACAATAAGGGGTTTTTACTAAAGATTATAACAGATAAAGATTCCACCTAAATCGGCTACCATACATTCTGTTCAATTGTACACTGCCAGAAAGTAACCTGACAGTTTCACTCATTCTTCTATAAAAATCCAAATTTGTAACATGTGTAATTTGCTACTGCTGCTTTTTTCCCCCTTTTAAGTAAAATTAGGCTCTAAGCATGCTGTAGTAGCAGATGACTTAGAGAAAGATAAAGTCAATGTGCTTAGGGAGTAATTGTGAAAAGTAAAATCACAAATGAACAATTAGTTAATTTGCTCTAACCACAAGTATATATATTATCTAAGCACAAATATTCAAGAATGTATATGTCTAATGTGTTCCATGAGCAAGGAATATTTTTAAAGACCCCAAGACATTGCTTTCTCTTTCCATCTGAAATATAATTTAGGCTTCCTAATTAAGATTTTCTTTTAAAATGGCATATTTAAGGCAGCAGAGATCCTCCCCTCCTTATCACCTATCAAGTTAGACTCAACAGTGCCTCACAACAGCCTTTACTGCTAAAGAAATTCGTACTCTGTCTATAATATTCACCAAAATGGGAGCAAAGCTTATTTTTCTCTGTAAAACCCTACATTTCATTTTTCTTGAATGTTCAAGGGAACATACTGGCACTGATTTATGGGACCCTTTTTGGTGAACATACTACTATTTAGAAGCATCCTGAGGGGCACTCAAAAAAATGAGGTGGCAGTTGTTACGTGCTCACTTTTCAAATCCGATGCTTCCCCTCTGTGCTGATTCCCTTCAGGAGATGGCTACTCCCTCTCCGCTCCTCCCCAACCCCTCCAACAGCAGAGTGTATCATTAAAAAGAGCAAGTTGGAAGTGTTTTGCATTTCATCTTTCTGAGGATTCTTTCACTGGCATATATATAACTGACAGTTAAAATTAGACGTGATATTAAAATCAGTTACTGAAGTCCTCTGTCTTCCACTGTGCCCAAAGCTTGTAATGGTTTGAAACCAGCTAGAATACACAGTAATTGTCATTCAGAGAGTCTATCCTAGAACGTCATGCTTCACTGGAGAAGACTGAGTTTCCATTTGAAATCAACAAATTAATCCAAGACAGGTATCTGAAAGGGCAAGTTTAATAGGAAGCAGCTACTGGGCTCTCAACCATGATAAAATGTTATTGCTGTTTCCCTGTAAATTGGCTGGGAACATATGATACTTTCTGCATAAGAGCCCCATTGCTGTTCAGGAGATATACAGCTCAAGCCATCAAACGGATGACAGTCTGTCAGTCCCCATAATAACTTGCCACTGGATGTGGTTCGAGAGTACGCGCGTGCATGCATGTGGCTTTACAATTGCTGGAATGTTCTCTGATATAAAAAGAGAATGCATTCACTGCTCTGACCGCATATATAATGCAATTCCAATAAACGTCACTGTGTCAAATCTATTCACCTTTAAAACACAAGAATCTTAAATGAACTTTTGGGAGAAGTAAAAATGATACCTAAACTGTAAAAAACAAAATTAGAGAAGCCAAGTGTTTGCCTTCGCTGTAACCAAGGCTTTTCAGGGTCAAAAGCATCTGCTCACTTTATAGTCTCTACAAGTACCTATACTGTCTGGTTTTATGTAAGAACAAAGCAAATGATGTCCCTAAACTGAGATGTTTGTGTCACAGGAACCGATCTGGAAATGAAACATCTAAGACTATGTCAATTTAAAGCAATCATTCAGTCATTCACCAATGTTTACGCAGATCTGCCTTTTGCAGGTCCTGTGCTTGGGGCCAAGGAGATTGTAATACAGAAGCTAAGAAGAGGCTGTGCCTGTCCTCCAGGAGTGGGCCAGTTAAGACACACACCCGGTAACTTTTACCTGAGGCAAGGGAAGAGCCTCCTCCCTCCGTCTCTCCACCTCACTCATCTGACAGATCCTCACCGAGTGCCTACAGTGTGCCAGGTATGTTCTTAAGGTACAGCAATGAGCAGACCAAGCTCATAGAGCTTGCTTACATTCTAGTTGGGAAGATAGGCAATAAACAAACAAATACATAACGCTAGCTAGTGAGAAGTGTTATGAAGAAAAAAAACATTAAAGTACTTTTCAATTCAAATCCTAAGCACCACCACCATCACATCAATAACTACCACGTATTGAGTACCTACTATGTGTTAGGAACTGTTTGAAAAACTTTACATGGATTAATTCATTTAATCTCCCCAACAACCTTGTGGATAAATACCATTATTTTTGTCATTTTATAGATGAGAAAAGCTTAAGTCTGTGGCAGAGCTGGGATGTGGGCATCAACAGACACCCAGACTCTCACCGTCCTGAGTCTCCGTGGGTCATATGGGTAGCCAGCTTAACAATCAACCATCATGATGGCCTCTTATCAGCTTTTTTAAAGAAATCTGGTCAAACTTTTATTACAAACCTTTTGCCATCTGTTATATCTATTAGGGTATACAACTAAGAGGCTTCAGTCATCACCCAAATGAAAAGGCAACACCTTTGGGCACTAGCCAAGAAGCTAAAATGATGCTTGTGGGAAACTTCTCATTTTGAACAGCCTTCCAGAAATTCAACTATTTTAAGCTTCTTTTGGTGGAAGAAGACAATATGATTGTTGCCAGAGGGGACTAGGCCCTGGTTGGTAATGCAAGTAACTCGTTATATCACCAATATTGAAAAAAACGAAAACAAACCATTCCCGGTGAAACAAAAATAAAAACAAAACAACAAAGCTCACATTGTCAACATTATTCTTAAGCACTGCACAGGAACAAAACCTCTCTAATGAAAGTAGGGCAGCTTTAGTACCAAAAAGCTATGTTCTGAGTCCTAATTAGAACCTAATTAGAAGGTAGGAAGGTCTAGTAAAAAAGAATCTCAAAATACATTGTATACCAATACTGTTTATGCTTTACTTTTCTATAGCATTTAAACATTTCACTAACATCCATAAGGACTCATTGTAAAAGATCATAGCGTCAATAGGAGTTTAAAATTGTAAGGTTTTATTCTTCTATTAAAAAAGGGAAATGTCAGTGTTCCAGAAAAAAACACTGACTTATGAGAATGAAATTCATCAGAAATGATCACTTCATAGGAATATGTGACTCAATTTGTAAATGTTGACATTAATGCTCTAAAAAAATTTTCACTTCAGAGTGAACTGAATATAAATGGCTGAACTACTTTGATGCTACACTACTTTGTGGGAATTTACTACTTGGGGATTTATGCTTGCTGATGCCAATTTTCTCTTTCACCTTGCAAAGCTCAATAAATCGTGGCCGCTCTCTATACTCTATTAGAGAACAATCCTGTCATTTTAAACCATGTCTGTAAACCATAGAGAAAAGACAATAGCAGAAACAATCATTTTTAGGGCTTTCAAACCACTGAGAGTCTCTGTAAGATAAATTGATAAAATCCTAATGTTATGAAAATAAGCAATTCACTAGTACAATGTGAAGCACCACAAACTTATAAATTATTTTAACAGTTAAGTAAAACTAATGAGCTCCTGCTTTGTGTTCAGATACTATATATATATATTTACATATATATATATTTAAATGTATATATTTTGTTTACACATACATATGTCAGTAAAAGTAATATATAGAGAGTTTTGGAAAAATTAAACATTGAAAGTTTCATATTTCTAAATAGTATTTTCGTCATAGTGGATCAAGGCCAACAATGAGAGGAAATCTATTTATTGCTTCTACTTTTGGTATTTCTATTTGGAATTTTATCACTTTTCTTTTCCCTTTGATAACAAACCTACTCTAGTAGACAATGTATATATACTTTTCATTGTATATATTTTATTCGACTCATTTGATTCAACTGATTTTCATACTATTCTTCATTAGCTGGTCTTTGGCGTTAGACTTCCACAAGTACTTACCGTACAAATACTTCATTTAGAACGGGAAATGATCATCTAGTAAGAGTTTTGCTAGAGAAATTAACTGAGGAATGCTACGGGATACCTAAGGAACATCCTGATCCAGTGATACTCAAAGTACAAAGCAGAATATAAAATAAACTGGTAAAGATATAGGGAAATTTCAGTATAGTATAACGTAGGCTTTTATTATATTATATATTCATTTATATCCAGAAACACAAAGATACAATTCTAAAGATGCATATGCATACTAACACTCTAGTCCTATTGTCAACACCAATTAATTTTGTATGCAATTTTGGTTCCAGAAATTTACATTTTCCTCTTCCATAAAATTAGTCTAGAGAATGGACATGAAAACAAGTTACCAGCAACCAGTTTTTTAATTATGTTAAGTGACCCATAGCCTAAAACTGGCTACAATACAGACATAACACTTGGAACAGTTTCCTATATACTCTCAGTTTTATTAAAGCTTTGTACAGATATGCCTTACCATCTTACAGACATTCAATTTTAAAATGTAAATGGTACAGGATATTGATAAACCAATTAGCGCTGATGCAAAGCAAATTCCTCTTTTATCTCAATTACAACATGACAACTTAATAGGTCAAGATAGTTTAACATCTGAGACAAGGGCAATTCAATAAAACAACAGCATCTTGATATGGTAATTAAGAGGAAATGTGAATCCATTACTGTGTTTTAAAAAATATCTCAAGCACTTTGGCTCTTTTTATTGCTTTTATCAAAAGCTATGATATGAAACACTACTCTGATTTGTGATATATTTGGTAAGCAATTTGGGAAGTGTGAAGAAAATACATGAATAAGAGCATCTTTCTCATTAAGCATTGTCAGTAAGAAATGTATAATTATTATATTCATGAAATATAAAACATCCAAAAAATTAATTAGGTGATTAATCATAGGTAGCATTCCTAACCCAAAAGATTAAAGGCTAAAATTAAGACATTAACCTTAAGCATTCTAAAGGATGATCATCATTACAGGAAAAACAGAATTCCTGAATCACTTTAAGGAAGTATGAATGCCATCTTATTTCCATGAAAAGATATACCCTTAATGTAAAGTGACAAAACCCCAGGCAAGTTAAAATGAAAAGTTATGTGTACAAGTGGCAGCTTTTTAAATGCCATCCAGTGTATCTGAGAATAAACAACCAAGAGCCCTTTTAGTGTAGATTTTGGGGACTATATTTAAAATAGATTTTAATACCAGTCACATGGTAGCATAACATGAATTCACTATACATTAAAACTGTTTTTTATACAAATTTGTCCTACATGGCCAAAGACTGTTTAAATTTTATAGTAAAGGTGTTTCTTGCATTTCAACGTAATAGATGAAATGGAGCTCCCATTTAAAAAGGATAATGTAACTTCAAATATACAGCACGATACATTTTATGGCTTACAGCAGAGAGTATTCATGCTCTCCAGGGTCCTATTGGTTGTCCAATAAGCAAAGTCTATTAAAGTTCAATAATGAAGTACTTTCAAAATATTCCTGGATCATCTCATTTATCTCTCATGAACATTTGTTTTCAACATCAGAAAATCAAAACGGAAAGCTCATAAAAACTGTTAACATATGAAAATGTACTATTCAACAAACCTGATTCCCAGATTCATAGCTTCAGCAGTTCCAATCATACTAATAGCTAACAGCAAGTTGTTGCAGATCTTCGCAGCCTGAAAGTAAATTGAGTATATATTAAATATCTTTATTTTCAAGCTGTAACTCACAGGATGCTTTTCTCCACCCAATTCCACATGCTTGTAAAAGTCAGAGCATTCCACTGCTGATTCTTTCCAATGGGGAAAGGAACTCGGTGCTGCATGCCTCCTTCTGAGCCTGACATGCAGTCACAGAGCAGACTGGGCATCTCGTCCACTAGGGAAGGACCCTGCAGTGCGGTGACTGAGCTACTCCTATGGGCGCAGCATGGTGGGGAATATGGATCGATGTATCCCACGACTGCTCTTTCAGGAATGGGGCTGACATTCTAATTGAAGAAATGGGAGTAACACACTGAATGAAAAGGCAATGAACAAACAAGCACACAAAATTAAGTGGTAAATTGTATGATAGCGGGTATAAGACAGAGACAGTATGAGTCCAGAGAAAGCAGATCACTGAGGGCAGGAGCAGAGAGGAAGTGGAACCTGAAACCATCTCTCAGAAGGCAGGTAGGAATTACATAGGCAAGAGAGGGAAAGGAGGAGAGCAGGGAAAAGGGTAACTATGTAAGAGCATGGGATGATCCTGAGTACAATAAGAAAATGGACTCCTGTGCAGAGGTTTTAAGGAATGGTGAGAAATTTGATCGTTAAGGCTGGGTCAAGAGCTACAAAAGTTAGTGTGTTAAAACTTGTCATGGCAGGAAATAGGGATCTATTCAAAGTGTCAGAATTGGGAAGTCTATGATGATACAAGCATCCTGATGGAGTTGGTTTTGGTTATGGTGCTGGCAGAGTGGCAAATCTGGCATCCAGAGATCCACTAAGGCCCTGTGAGCAGTAAACAAGAAGTGAGATAATGGAAAACTGGACCAGGTAATGTGAGGAATGAACAAGACAGCCAACAATGAGAGCCACTGAAGCAAAAATCAATAAAACTTGGAGGACTGACTAGACAAGGGAATGGAGACAATAGATATATTTAAGATCATACCAAAGTCTTGAATAAGATAAAGAGGGAGCCAGTGCTAAGACAAAGCGTGAGGAGGAGGGAGTGACAGTGAGTGTGCTGGGTAGGAGGGGGACAACTAATGTGATTTCAGAGTTTAGTGTTGTCATTCATCTCTACCTGATTAGAGGATTGATATAACACATTTCTCAATGAAAATTATTTGGTTTTTAAGAAAAAGATTAAAGTGCATAGGTTACTTCCACCTGATAGTACCACAAACAGAGCTGTGGTAAGTAATTACGAAATTAGAGAGAGGATAACAGCAAGTCAGACATAAGCACTTCATACAGAAGCAGTTTTAAGGATAATTTCAATGGTCACTGGGATAAATATGTCAAAATCTGAAATGATGGAACTTTTTGATATCTTTTAAAATTAGGTTAATTGGCGGATGTCTGCTTACTTCCAACAGAAATGATTGAAAACTAATTTATACCAAATTAATTTAAGAAAATCTGAGCAAACAAAAAATTCATAGATTGAACAGAGTAAGGAGGAATCAGATTGTGGTCAGGAAAGAAAAATGAAGATTAGCCATTTTTTTTTACATCATTTTACATAAAGTCAGTGTCATTAATGTGAAAATGTTACCTGCCCAGTCCCAACGGCTCCACAGTACACCACATTGGAGCCCATGCACCCCAGCAACTCCTGGGCAGCAGCAAATTCATCTTCGACTCCTCCCACCATAAACGTTAGGTTCCCAGACCGAGCAGCTCCCACACCTGAAGGATTTGAGGGTAAAGAGGTAAAAGCAGAAGGATACATTTTTTAAAGTGTTTAAGTAGACAGCAAAATTAGAGAAAATCCTCAAACCAAATGAGAACATCTTGCCTCTAAGTTGTATTTATGTCAAGCTTGTATAAGATACTGTAAATCTCTCCTGGAATATGTCAATAGTCAAGTACCATGGAGGTTACTCATAAGCCAAAGGGACATACAGATTCAATCAAACTCAATTTATCTAAAATATTTTGGCATGATCATGGAGTGCCATGGGGATTTGAAATGTGAATTCCATTATTCTCATGCATCTCTTATTCTCTTAAGAAAGCTGTTCATAATAAAAAGTAAATGGAAAAGGTGACCTGTGCCCTGACTGACACAGGAGCAGCTAGAGGGGTCTGCTGTCCAAGTTTGGACTTGGGGTCTCTGGCTCACTCACTTGCTCTCCTCACACTATCTACAGATGAGACCTACAAAGAGAGAGACCTGTCTCTTTTTCCCTCCCATAAACAAGTTTGCATTTCAAATGGATTCTTTGTTAAGGTAAAGAAAACAGTTGCTTAGTTTAGACTGATCATTCTGATGTACATTCTCTAATACTATTTTTCTTTTCTCTTGTGCCATAAAGGCGTGCATACCTTGAAGATTTTGTGCGTTCAGGTCCAGACCATCCCATTAAGGTGAATACTGCAGTAAGGTGAAAGTCACATGAATTTTTAGGTTTCCCAGTACATATAAAAGTTATGTTTACACTATACTGTAGTCTATTATGTTGGCAATAGCAATATGTCTAAAAAAAAAAAAGTACACGCCTCAATTTAAAAAGTCCTTACTGCTAAAGAATGCTAAGCATCATGTGACACCTCAAGGTTGCCACAAACCTTCAAATTGAAAAAAATTCAGTATCTGTGAAGAGCAAGAAAATAAAGTATGCCTGTACACCTTTGGGGCAATCCATTCCTAGTTATTCGGCAGGAAGAAGAAATAAACTTTAACACTGGTTTGGCCACTCCTTAGCATCTCAAACAAAGGTCTGATGCATGTTCATTAATTGAAATGATTGGAGAAGCAACTTCTCCTTTAACATAGAAAATATGGCCTAGACTTGTCCTAAAAAGGAAGGGTGGGGGGGAGCTTCACTTACCTCAATTTTTATTAACTATAAAATAAAACCAAGAGTATTTCTGCTGCTTTTAGCATTAGAGAAATCTTCATTCATAACTTTCAAGTTAGGTTTTGTTGTTCGAAACCAGGAAAATTTGTGTAAGAGCAATATTGGTAAAATTTTTGCCTTTACAACTTACAGTACAGCTAGGAATAAAGAAACTGTACTCGTTTGCACTATGTATAAACCTGGCCATCAGAACAGACAGCTGCAAGTAACAGCCTACTTTTGAATTGAATTTACTCAACGAAATACACAATTTTTATACATAAAAAGCCCAAATGAAGAGATTCCTATTTCATTCAAACTGTGAATACTCTGCTACTGCCAAACCGAATAGCCTTTCTATTTTAGTTTATGCTATTTTTAACTAATTATTAAAAGCAAAAGAAGTCAGCATTATGTTAGCCAAACAATCTTGGAAGAGGGAGTGCCCACATGCTATGAAAGTCTGAGATGCTCACATATGGTTAAATTACATTATTTCACAATATTTTCAGACACACTGTGGGGCTGATTATGTACAAAAACCCAATTATAACAAATGCTTTTAATTAACCGATCTGTATCATTTGAACATTCTGATAATGTTGAAGTTTAAGTGACTGTCATTTGGTTAGTTTCTAATTTACCTCAACAAGACAGTGGATCATTAATGTTTTACAATTATTTTGCTCAATTTCTATAGCCATTTTTATTCAAACCGCATAAACCACCCTTACTTCAAATCCTGTTGATCTGACCTATAGAAATTAAGTAGACGATTTAAGTCAAAGCTTACAAACAAATCCAGCACTATCCATCATAGGTCAATAGCTTTGTATCTAGATTACAGGCTGCTAAACAGCTTCAGAGAGTCATTTATTAAAGGAGAATTAATGCTGACAACAGTTCTCAGCTGGTTAATCTTTTGACAGGTGTACTTTCTCACTTGTTCAAACACATATTTCAAAACAAAGAAATAAGTTACTTAAGTGAGAGAAGACCACAAACGAAGGAATAATTCATCTTTTAATTCACAGGTTAGTGGTATTTCCAACCTTTCCTCCTTTAATTGTGGTGGTGTAATTATTTCCAACTTTATCATAATCTGCCTTCTAATGTAAGGGTCTGACTGAACTGGGTAATTCTAAAGTTTTGGCATTCCTTGGGACCAAATTCTACCTTTCCATACATATTCCCCTAACCATATGATACTATCGAGCCTACTCCCATTGTAGAGTCAAAATTAAGACCTAAATTATCCTAAAACAAGTGCACCCATTTTTAGTTTTGAAATAACATACAGAAAGCTAGAATTCTAAAGCTGTGAAAGACATCGCATGGATTTCAGAAGACACTGTATATATTTTGATGTCTATGAATAATAAACAATACATTTATTACATTGCCATGCCATTTTAATTCTGGCCCACTCCCCAAAATAGGAAAATATGGAATACATACTTAGGCAGCTGCTAGAATATTGGGAGAAATCATTATTTTACCTTATATTTTAGTAATTGTATATACAAAACCAAAATACATCTTATGCTTACAGCATTTACACACCTTATTAAAATCTTTGGCTTTCTTACCCAATTCCTCCATGACACCATAAAGCACTTGACAAGGTGAGCGCTGGGGTTGTGTTTATGTCAGCATTCCATTATCTACCACAGTGCATGATACGTTCAATAGACAATTGTTCAGTCAATTAATTTATGAACATGATACAGACAGCAAAGGACCTAGAGATGAAATATCTGGTTTGGGGATGTGCCACTTGCTGGCTGTGTCATTAGAAACAGATTACCTAACTTCTCCAAGTTTCAATGTATAAAACAGGACAAGCATTAATAACTTCTTCATAAAGTGGCTGTGAATATATCAACATGTGCTATAAAATATAAAATGCTATTTAAATGTGAGGCCTTACTACTTTATAACCTGAATTTGCGAAGTGGGAGTTTTATCGTCACCTATATAGTACCTTGAAGTCCTTTCCTATTTGGTTATCTAAGCCATTTTCTTCTCTAGGATAATTTTAGCCTCTCTGGCTAAATATTAGCCGGCTTGAGCCAATCCTATAAATAATGGAAGCAGGCTGGCCCAGGTTAAGAAGTACTCAAGTGGTCCACAGCCAGTGATATTAAGATTACAGTAAAGACCTCTAGTAAAACCGTTTAAAAGCAGCATAGTGTATTCCAAAGTGACAAGAATGCTACATTTGTTTGGTTTTATTCACTCAACAAAATTAACCTACTAAGAATCAAGCCCTGAGGTAAGCCCTGGGGTTCTAGATGAATAACGTATGTCCCCACTCCTAGGAAGTGACACAATTGTGATCCAGCCACTTCTCTCCTTTCGCGTCACTACCACCTGGCTGAGCCACTACCATCTCTCGCTTGGATACTACAACAGCGTCCTACCTGACCTCCCTTCAGCTTTTGCCTCCAAAGTCTATTCTCCATATGGCAGCTAGAGGGATACTTTCAGAATATAGTTGACCCTTGAATAAAGTGGGGGTTAGAGACACTGATCCTCTGAGAAGTTGAAAATCTGAGTGTAACTTATGGACAGCCCTCTGCATCTGCAGATTCAACCAGACAAGGATCACGTAGTACTGTAATATTTACTAATGAGAAAAAAATCTGTGGGTAAGTGGGTCCACACAGTTAAAACCCCTGTTGTTCAAGGGTCTACTGTATAAACCTAGTTCGTGTTTCTTCCCTACTCTCAAGCCTCCAAAGTGTCCCATCACTCTCAGTATAAAATCCAAAGTTCTACGAAGCCCCGCGTGATGCGGCCCTTGGCATACCATTCTCTTCATCGCTCACTGCTTCCCAGCTACTTGGGCCTCCTTGCTGTCCCTGAAACAGGTCCAGTTGAGTTCCATCTCAAAGCCCCGCACTTGCTATTCCTTTTGCCTAGAATGTTCTTGCCTGAGATATTCATGATTTGCTTCCTTTACTTCATCCAGGGTTTCTTCTCAGGATTTATCTCTTTAGATAGGCCTTCCCTGACCCCTCAACTGAGCAATCTAAGATGGCACCCCACCACTCTCTATCCCCTTTTCCTGCTCTGATTTTATTCACAGCATTTATTACCACCTGTTTATGTTAACACCTCTAGTTATTTGGTTTTGGTCTATATTCCTCACATGAAAATTAGCTCCATGAGAGCAGCAACCCTTTGGCCCATTCACCCCATGTTCCCAGTGTCTGGTACATAAGAGATGCTCAGTAATACAGTATTTGCTCCACAAAAGAGAAAAAAGGAGGCAGTGATGATGGGAAGAGCCAGGAGATGAGTGATGGCAGTAGTGTGCACTGACTGCTCTCACAGAGATATGTGCAAGATGCCAAGGCTCTCAGACAGAGCATTTGTCATTCTAGCAAGTTTTTTCATCTATAAAGTGGGATGATTAGACAAGATGATCACTGGGTTACTTTTAAGCTTTTGAAATTCTATAATTTGGGATTCGGATGTTCACTTACATCCACTTTCCCACATTCATCCCACATTTATCAAAACTAAAGCATGTTTTATTTTATACAAATAGTATAGAAATAGTTCCAAATAAGAGAAGAGTTAGAAAATAGTTTTTCTCATGGAACTAAGTTAATTAAATCTGTCAAGCCTAAATACTTGTGGTTGCCTTTAATGCTTTGTCTAACGCCTTCCAGTGATGATTTCTCCATTATTTCTCTCCCATGAACCGAGAACCAGAAAAATTGAGCTCATTTGTACAAATGAAAAGGCAAATGCCCAAACCATTCAAAGTGGGTGGCTGACTACCCTGCTTTTAAAGTTTGATTTTAATCAACTGTAGTGGAGAAGCACTTTACATCT